TATATAATATATTTATATATTATATATATATATTATATATAATATATTATTATTATTATATATATATATATATATATATATATGAGTCCTCAGAAATTAAATTAATTAATCTTATAAAATAAATAGCAGAAAAAATCAAATATTATAAATATTATAATTATTGTAAATATATAAATATTATAGTTATAAATTAATCATGTACTTCGATGTTTTGCTTAAAATGTTTATATAAAAAGTGAAACTGAATCAGTTTGGCTTGTGTATATTATAAACATAATATGCATATTATCTAATATTGTAGTTGTAAATGTTACAGTGCAATAATTCACATTATTTAATATTGCTAAAAAGAATCACATCAAGATATATTGAAGATAGACACAAATGCGTAACATATTATATAAATAGTTATGAGTAAAATTGAGTAAATCTGGTACAAGGTTGCTAATGGCGAACTGCCAATAGTTTGTCACTGTTAGCTTCGTATCAAATTACTGGCTTTTCTCGCCAAGACGACGCGACATGTTGCATGTATCTTTATTAGAGATTGATTAATATATTGAAAGAAAGTGATTGTTAATATCGTTTTCCGAATCATGAAAATGTTTTATTTTCAAATAAAAAGAAAAAAAAATGAACTGAATGAAACAACTATTTATTTTTTATTTAGTTTTAAATACAAAATGTCGAATTACTGAAATACCTACTTTTGGTATAACAGTGTCCTGCTACATTGATATTTTGACAATGCAGTAGAACTCTTGAACGAAAGAACGCAGCGTATAGAAAACACCCTGTAGAAATTTTATTCCCTCTTACTAGACTCTAATTTTGAAACAGATAAAGTAACTCTGAATTCTGATAATAAAATCTGACGCAGAATTGCCTGCATGATTTCTGGAAAAAAAACTTGTTCGATAAAGAGTTTATTAAAAAAAAAAAATTAATTTGTCGATGGACTAGGAGGACGTAAGAGAAAAAAAAGCAGATCCTGACTTAAAAGATGATGGTTCAAGGGGTCATAGCTTAAAAATTGTTCTATTCTTTAATCTAGATCAAATACTAGCATAGACCAACCTTTAGACTGAGCTCCTAAAGATAGTATAAAAATATATTCTTTTTATTCATTTGAAACAAGTATTATATATGAAGAAAATAAATAAAACTATATATTTAAATTTTTTATTATCTGAGAAATGTCTATTCAGGCATTTTCTAATCATGATTTCGTGTTTGTACAACGAGTGTCAAAACAGATATAGTAAAAATAGAGAAAAAATAAATATAACAGTTAAATAATAAATTTAGTAACACGGTGCAGTAAACGTAAGCTCACTCGTCTTGAACATTTATTTACACTATTAAATTCAGAATTCCATTGTTTTCAAAATTATTTATTTATCGATGCTATTAACAACTGTATCGTTTTCATGCGAGAAAAATAAGTATCAGGCAGTAAACGAAACAGCTTCGCTCGGTATTTATTATCATTACTTTTTTATTAGCGCAAGTAAACCTGCGGAAAGTGTGAATATATATAAAATAGAACTGCAAGAGAGGAATCGTATGAATTGTGTCGTATTTATATTTTGTTGTATCCATATTTACTCTAGGTTTCTCTTTCCCCCCCCCCTCTCTCTCTCTCTCTCTCTCTCTCTGACGCTGTTAAATAAAATATTATTTTACTAATAGTCAGAATGTGTATCTCACGATAAATATTTTTACAACTTACGTGTAAAACATTATATCCAATTTTATTCGCATATTTTTCTCTTTGAAGAAAAAGAATTTAAACTACAAACGGCTTTGATGTATAATTTAAACTTTGATTCGAACCGCCCAAACAGAAAAATCATTTAAATAAAATATATACGATACACGTAATTAATTACATTGATGTCAGCTTAACCTAATCTGGATAATTTATCGCGTCTTTATCGTTTTTATTTAGTATAGATTTTTAGTATAGATATTTAGTATAGATATAATTTTATTTATGAGAGTATAATCATTGACAATACAATTAATGTAACTATTAGCTCGCGATCGATCGCATTAGCGTTATTGGTAATAACTGTATCTTTCGATGGCACGATAAACACATCTATCGGTATCGATACGTTTGACATCAACTTCTCCCAGAATGCCATTCTATCAGGCAAGAAATCGCTTTGTACCACAATTTCCGGTGCTTTCCCAATCCCAAATCTCATGAACTTGTGATGATAGTGGTAATCAGGCCACTCAGGGACCAGCCGTGTTCTTGGTATTCTGTGCATACATAAATATTATCAGTAAGAACGTCCGATCATTGCTGTACGGAATTTCAGGCTAACGATTTAGTATATTTGGCTTTGAATAGATGACGAATTACGTAAGCTTCCAGCATAAACGGAAGTATGTACGACAAGAGAGATACCTGTTTCTCAAAATTTTTATAATAATAATAAAAATAATTTTTTAATATTTCGGAACTCGCTCGCGCTGTATAAATTTTCTCGAAACATTACATCTTTCATGAAGATATTCGTATTGCATATATAACGCTATTAATTATATTTACCCTTTCTTCGCGAAACTTGTCCACATCTCTGTTACAATATTAATCATGGTTTTATCATACTCTGTATTGTGCAGTAACAAATCCGGAAACATATTATTTAATATAGGAAAGAAATAGTTCATATCGTCCCCGTGACAAACACCTAGAGAAACAGATTGTTAATTTAAATTTTTACGCAAATGTTTCATTATCGATTTTAGCACGCAAAGCAACCAACATAATTAATGACAAAAAAAATTTCTTTTTTCTTTATATTGCTTTTTAAACAACTCTTTTCGTCATAATTATTTTTATTATATTATATTTATATTCAGAAGTCTTTTAAAAATTCAAAATCAGGAGAGAAATATCATAGTGTTAAATTATTAATAAGTGTAATTATTCTTACAAGATAAAACAAAAGCTTCGAAAGATTTTACATGTATCTTATTAAGAATCAATTTAAATTTGTCCTAATTCTCTGTTATTAGATTGATGTTACGAATGACGTACCGTAGTAAATCGGAATGCCAGTAGAATAGGTATGCGAGAACGTGCCCTCGTACGCGAAGAAAGAGAAGTAAATGCTGGAATTTGCTTTTTTCGACTGATATTGTAGAGTTTGAAACACCGACCACATTATTAGGGCATCACTTGCCATCTAGAGAAATAAATTCGTTATCAAATGTTACCTAAGTATCCGCTCTCAAACTCACCTCCGTAATATTATACATCGGAGTCGTTGTTATATTTCCCTTACAGTAAAAATCCTGTATCGCGGACGTGAACATTTTGGTGTTCGAAACCACATTTTCATATTCCGCAAAATAGAGAAAATATTCTTCGAAATTCTCTATGAATTCGGTCCTGACGTCGCGATTTATGATTAAGTCTGAAATGAATAGACACGAATTTCGCCGAATTCTTCTCTATCCGCATCGCCATTGAAAATTTATTAGAAATATAATTTCCTTCTTGGAACATAATAATAAATATAGCTAAGGATAAATATAGCTTTGTTAAAAATGGGACTTTGAACTTTATTTAAAATTAACTAATATAATATAGTATGAATCATAACCGAGAGCGAGCGTGGCACAGTAAATGGCGCATTGGTCTAAAGATCCCAGGTTCAAGATCCCGGTAGGATCAAAAATATTTTCGCTCTTGTGCCTTCTCTCGATCGCGGTCTAATAAACCGCGAGAGTATTCTTACCCATAAGAATCTCCTCGAAAATGTGCCGTTCGGAACCGGCATTAAAATGTAGGTCTCATATGCCTGTGCATCACCTACATGCACACAGGCATATGAGAGTGAGGTAGAACAGGCCTTATAAAGGCCCTATACGAAAGGAGAATTAAATATTATTACAACAAATAATAGAAAATTACTGGTCGTCTTCACTAAGCCTTCATCTTTCACGACTTGCATTATCGCTGGCATATCGCGAAAGAGTCCTTCCTTTATTATCTTCAATGGATGCATCGTCAGGATAGCGTCCTCCGAATCAAGTTCCAATGTAGGTCCAAATACAGCTTGTGGATTGTTCTCCCAAACATGCTAATACAAAATTATTATGAACTATTGACCTATCATTAACATTTTTTTTTTATAACACTACTGACGACACTTACGAAAGACTGTGTCATGTTTAGTATTTTCCTCGCGTCAACTTTTCTCATGCAAGACATTATCTCTTCGTCATCTTTTATGGTATAGCTTGAGTACAAAACGTCATCGTAGGCGCTGCTTCCATTATTTTCTTCCGAACTTTTGTCGATTGTGTCATTCATGCCGTTGCCTCTTTTCGGCAGGCAGCCAACAAGTTTTGCCAATTTCAAGCATACTTGTCTATACTTTCTCGGAGGATGAAAACTCCACGGATGTAAAGCGGTACCACTGTGCAAAATATATTTATCAAAGAGACCCTCGGTCTTCTTTGAGAGAGCTAAAATATGAGTCGCCGCAGCACCGGCACTTAATCCCATAAGAGTCACTGATCTGCGATCCCCATTGAAGCTATGGATATTCTCTTGTATCCATTCGAGGGCCATTTTTACATCTTTAATGCCGTAATTACCTGGAGAGACTTCGTTCATTGTGCTAAAAAAGCCTAAGTAATCGAGCTTGTTATTTATATATTATGGTGAGATCTATTTTATCTGGATTATCTTATGTCTAAATTTGCGATATATTTACCATTATTTTTTTTTCTTACCTAAGGCACTAAGACGATAATTCAATGTGACGAGGATCACATCGTGATTCAACAAATAATCCGGCGCATATAGTTTGCTATCACTACTGCCTCCTTTAAATATACCTGGGTGTATAAAAACTAAAACCGGTAGATTTTGGGATCTCTGTCGAATCTCTAAAATCTATTAAGATTTTTGATAATGATGGAATGACAGAATTATATATGAATTATATATGAATAGAAGAGCGAAATATTTTTAATAATGAATAGTTGCACTAAACGTTTAATGTGAAAACCGCTGAATGTCACAATAGCAGCGTAACCTTCATTCGTTTAGGTTTAATTAAGTCAGATCAGATAACCTTGTGGACTAATTAATTCGTTCTTGAAAGATTGTAATTCTCTATCTATTAAACTTATATGAATAGACTGACGCAAATTATGCGCGATGCTACTTACTTGATATGCAAGAATATCCGTTATCAGAGTTTTATTATTATTTCATATTGCTATTATTATAATTAATATTTACTGTGTGTATAATGCAATCACTTACATCGGGGATAAAAATATTTAGATAAAGACAATCTTCACTGCCAACAATTTTGGTTCCATTTGTAATTTGAATACATTTCTGCCCGTCGATCGTAGCGTCGCGTATTTTCATCCACGTGTTATTCCATTGTTGCGGACTCTAATAACATGTATTGATTATATATTAATTAAATATGTGTTAATTAAATTATCTTAATTTATCTGAATTTAAATATATTACATCTATTACAATATACGGAAAAAGTTATTTTTCCTGAAATATCTAAAAATTTGATCAGAGATGATTTCATTGGATCAAATAATTATATAGGTCGCTTGAATTGATTTTTAAAATATAAAAAATTTTTGCAAAAAAATATTTTCATCATCCTTAAGCATTTTACATAATTATTTTCAATTCTTTATCTAGTTAAATTTTTATTAAAATAATCAAATCATAGACGTTAATCGGCGAAGAAGATCTTAGTGTCGAATAATTTTTCTTTGTTGAATTAATATATAAATTCAACAAGGCAAATTTTTATTCCTTAGCAAAAACTTTTGTGGTTTTTTTGTGTAAGTCAACATTGACTTTTACTTAGTTACAAAATGAAGTTAAAAAAATCTCATCAAAGTCTTTAACATTTTTCTAATAAAAATCAATTATATATCAATTAATTTTTTTATATTATTTTTTTATATTATTTTTTATATTTATATTATTTTATTATTTATATTATTACTGAGGCGTGTACATAAGGGTGAGAATATCTACGCACCCTGAATCTCAGTTCGCCCACCGGTGGTTGTGCGTAGGGTATTCCAAGGAAATTCGCGATCGGCCGATTACCAGGTACGGACCAGCTCCACTTGCCGCGAAACAAGCCCCATTTCGTGTTAATTATGGGTGGCTGGGAAGAGTTGAAAGCAACTGCAAGGCTGAGTAGATACACGAGGACCCACAAATATCGCCAAATCCTACCGTTCAGGCAAAGACATCGTGCCGAGACGGAGCAATGCGTGAGAAATTCGTGCGGCCGCATATTTGTCGCAAAGGATGTCGTACGTATTGTCGCGCGAAAAACCTACTGAAATGTAGCAGTTTTTCATGTAGAACCGCGATCTATCACGTGACACGTGAATGCAATACGTTTAATTTCTGCGAAAGTGATGCATCAACACTGTGCTGTGAAACGAGCGATTATGAAACGTTATTTAAATAGAGTTCACGAACAGACTAATAAGATAACAAGCTAATAAGATAACAAGATAAGATAACATTTTACGATTTCTTTGATTGTAGAATCTCAATTAATTAGCTGATTCGCAAATAATTCTATTAATTTAATCTACCGTTGTCAAACTCCTATGCAAATTAAGTCATTAATGGTTAATAAAGGTAATTAAAATTAGTGTACAAATTACTTAAGTCTTAAGATGTATAAGTTATTTCTTAATTTTTCAATTCTCAAATGATAAAATTATCAATTTAATTTCATCAAAATAAATCATGTAAAATAAATGATTAAAATATCACACATACATGATATTAATTTACATTTAGCTATTCTTTTTACATATTTATTTCTCAAAAAATCGGAAAAAATTTATTTTTCAGGGGAAGTAATTTTTTAAATATTCCATCTTTGTGTGAATGCCCCGCTATTTTTGTATCATTTATATCTATTTATTATTTCTATCATGTAGATTAACTTTAATCTCGGTTTAAATCTACTCTTTATTTTTTCTAATTTTCTAAAAAAAATTAAAAAAAAGAAGAAAGTCAAATTAAACCCTGAGACTAAAATTAATCTACAATTAAAGTTAGTTGGTAGAAATGGGCATTATTCATCAGATGGATTTCTATCAACTATGTTATTGAACAAGGAATAATGCGGTTTTTGACAGCTTGGAGCTTACCTACTTACTGCACATTATTACTCGGAAAGGACAGTGCTGGATATAGATTTAAAAAATAATTTTGTTGAGCCATCAAAATAATTATATGAAACATCTAAATTGACTGCTACAAAAAAATTTAGTAATATTATTATGATATTTAAACACGCTACATAATAATTTTGATGGTCCAACAAAATTATTTTTCAGATCTATACCTAGGTAAATTTTTAAATTTTACAGTAGAATTGTTTTTGTCCGTGTACATATACAAAAGCAATTTAATTGCTCGTATTCATTGCATTAGTGAATATGTAATATTTTAACTCTCCACCGTAACATTATAGTATACTTCACAATGTCAACAGTCGTGCATGGTAATTTAACACTCGAAATACGAACTATTTTGCAAGTGCTGCTTTTACAACAGCAGGATAAAATAATAATGTAAAAAAATGCGGCTTGCAAAAAAAAATAAGTTAAATAAGTTTTAATACGACGATAATATTCTCTAAGAATTAAAACTTCTATTAAAACTTATTCAACTTATTTTTTTTCTTT